TATCCAAGAAATCATGGTCAATGCCAATGTCAAGAAGATTTTACCTATATATTATTTTTTCTTCTAGGAGTTCTACAGTTTCAAGTCTTATGTTTAAGTCTTTAATCCATTTTGAATTAATTTTTATGTATGGTATAGGATAAGGGTCCCTTTTCATTATTTTCCTATGGAGCCAGTTTTTCCAACACCATTTGTTGAAAAGATTAACCTTTTCCATTGTGTATTTGTGGTACTCTTTCATACTGTGTTAAATAGTTAAAACATAACTCCCTGAAAAATCCATGATAGAGTACAATGCAACCATTAGAAATTGTTTTGTATATGGAATAGAAACATAATTATTAAAGATTATTAAATCTAAAAAGAAGATTAAAAAATAGTCCATACTCCAGAGGGGCACCTGGGTGGCTCAGTTGTTAAGCATCTGCCTTTGGCTGGGGTCATGATCCCAGGGTCCTGGGATGGAGCCCTGCATCTGGCTCCTTGCTCCGCAGGGAGCCTGCTTCTCCCTCTCCTGCTCCCCCTGCTTGTGTTCCCTTTCTTGCTGTGTCTCTCTCTGTCAAATAAATAAATAAAATCTTTTTTTTTAAGTCCATAGGAAACAATACATTTTTATTTTTAAAAATAGAGCACCATTATATAAACCATTGTTAATGGAGGTTCACAGAGTAAACTGATTCAAGAGGCACACTTCAGGATCTGACAGACCCAAGATCTCTGCCCAAAACTCCCATTCAGTTTACATGTGCCCCTTTGGGTGGAGTCTTTCCTAATGTCCCCAGTCAGAGCTGGTAGCCTGTCCTCGGTTTCCAAAGCATTTGGATGCAACGTCTACTATACCACTTACAACTTTGTATTTAGAGTGGGAAGTCCAGTCTTTATTTTAGGCTGGTCTGTATCTGACCCTCTTTTCTTTTTAAGTAGTTCTTCAGGTTAGCAGTCTTGGAGGGAAGCAGAGCATCTTTCTTCTGCTAGAGGCTGAGGGTGCCAGAGGGGTTTGCTTTCTTAGCTTCTCCTGAACTGGCCCTTTCCTTGACACATAACTTGTCAGACTAGGAGTCAGGAGAAAAAAACTGTGAGTTCTCTCTCTAGTTGCTGTGGCTCCAGTAGAAGGAATATAGACCTCTAGGAGAATGGTAAAAGGGTGCAGGGAGGGTCTACTATCCTCTGGGCAGGGGTTAGTGGGCAGCAGAATTTGTAGTGGACTAATTTTGTGGCTGGGTTTGGGGAATTCTCCATGATGGGTAGCACTTAGCAATTGCAAGACTGTTGCAAAAACATAAAAGTGGCCTCATTTTCTTCCTTGGAAATCAGAATCCCAATTTTTTTCTCCCTGGATGCACTGCCATCCAGATAGATGAAATTCCCAGAGTCCCCTGAAGCTAGGTGTGACCATGTGAGTAAATTTCAGCCAGTGTGAGGTATAAGGAGTGTAGCATGTAACTTCAAGAAGAGTCCTAAAGGGAAAGGAAGATACCTTTTCTTCTTTCCTTCATCCATCATTTGTCTGGAACTCTGACAACAGCTGGAACTCCAGCAGCCACCAAGCACTGGGAGGACAGGGGTCACACCTTAGGGATGCGAGACCAGAGTGCTGAAAGGAGCCAAATCCTTGAGAACCATGGAACCACCATTCTAGTCCTGGACTACACACTTCAGGATGATTTTTGCATTTATAAACATCTATCTTTTTAAATATTTGTTATTATGAGTGTGTACGTATGTTATAAACAGTTGAACATAATCCTAGCTAATAAACTGAGCCACCCAATATCTTTTACTCTCTTTTTTTTTTTTTTTTTTTTTTTTAAAGATTTTATTTATTTATTTGTCAGAGAGAGAGAGAGGGAGAGAGAGCAAACACACGCAGACAGAACGGCAGGCAGAGGCAGAGGGAGAAGCAGGTTCCCCGATGAGCAAGGAGCCTGATGCGGGACTCGATCCCAGGACGCTGGGATCATGACCTGAGCCGAAGGCAGCTGCTTAACCAACTGAGCCACCCAGGCGTCCCATACTCTCTTTTTAAATTGTAGTTGACACTCATAACCCATCTAATATCTTTTAATTAATTTTTAACATTAAAAAAATTTTAAGTTAAAATTTGTACGTATGTTTTTGTAAGTAAAATTTTGTAAGTAAAAATTGCATATGTATGTACACAATTCTGAGTTTTGACACAAATTCAGGGTTCATGTAACCATTACCACAATAAGGAGGGCAGTATTCAAAGAAAACCTTCATGCTGCCCCTTTGTGGTGAAGTCCAGGCTACATCCTTAACCCCGTAATCACTGATCTATTCACCATCTCTATAGTTTTGTCTTTCTCAGAATGTCATGTAAATGGAGTCATATAGCATATAACTTTTGGACTGATTTTTTTCACTCAGCATAGTGTCTTTGAGATTCACCCATGTAGCTGTATATCAGTAGCTCATTATTTTTTACTGCTGAGTAGTGTTCTGTTGTATGGACATACCATAGTTTGTTAATCCATTTATTTATTTAAGGACATACATGTTGTGTCCAGTTTTTGGTGATTATGAACAAAGTTGCTATAAACATTTTTGAACAGGCTTTTGTGTAGACATAAGTTTTCATTTATCTAGGGTAAATGCTTAGGAGTGGAATTACAGAGGCATATAGTAAATTATGTTTACCTTTTTTTTTTTTTAAGATTTTTATTTATTTGATGGGGCTCCTGGGTGGCTCAGTGGGTTAAAGCCTCTGCCTTCAGCTCAGTTCATGATCCCAGGGTCCTGGGATCGAGCCCTGCATCTGGCTCTCTGCTCGGCAGGGAGCCTGCTTCCCTTCCTCTCTCTCTGCCTGCCTCTCTGCCTAACTTGTGATCTCTGTCTGCCAAATAAATAAATAAAATCTTTTTAAAAATATTGGTTTTTTTGAGAATATATTAAAATTATGATTTTTTGTGCCTATCATATAAGTCAATATCTTAAGCTTGAGGGTTTTTTTTTAAGATTTTATTTATTTATTTGACAGAGAAAGGGAGATCACAAGTAGGCAGAGAGTCAGGCAGAGAGAGAGGAGGAAGCAGGCTCCCCGCTGAGCAGAGAGCCCGATGCAGGGCCGATCTCAGGACCCTGAGATCATGACCCGAGCTGAAGGCAACAGCTCAATCCACTGAGCCACCCAGGCGCCCTTAAGCTTGAGTTTTTTAATGGAGAGAGATTCTTCAGAGTCCTCATTTTTCTATTTAAGTGCTACATATTTTTGCTATCTTGTAAATAATTGTTAACAGAAACTCATTTCACTACAAAAAAAGAAGTACATGATAGAGGGAGAGAGAGAAAGGAAGGAAAGAAGAAAATGTTGAAATTTGACATTTCAAAAAAAAATTTTAGCTGCAGAAATCTTTTTTTTTTTTTTTTTTTTTTTTTTAAGTAATCGCTACACCCAGCATGGGGCTCAAACTCACAACCCTGAGATGAAGGGTCGCATGCTCTACCAAGAGTCAGCCAGCCTGACCTGCTGCAGAAATCTTGATCAAACAAAATATTATCCTATGTCCAGAGAACAAAAAAAATTTAACATTGATCTAACTGAAGGAGTAAGAAGGTAAGTACTCTGCAGCCCCCTAATAGCCATGAGGGGCCTCTGAGAAACTGGTAGGGTCCTAGAGCCTGGATTCCTAGGGGAAAGAAGTCTCTCAGTGTCTGGTACATGTTTATTTACCAACAGAATCAAACACTTCAAATAAAGCATTTTGCTTTTCTCCCTAAAGGAAGACAGGTATTCAAGAGAAAGGATACTTAGTCTAAGAATCCCTAAAGAAATTCTGGCTTTTCTTTTTTTTTTTTTTTTAAGATTTTCTTTTAAGATTTTTTTTTTTTTTTTTTTTTTGACAGATCACAAGTAGGTAGAGAGGCAGGCAGAGAAAGACAGGAGGAGGAGGCAGGCTCCCTGCTGAGCAGAGAGCCCGATGCGGGACTCGATCCCAGGACCCTGAGATCATTACCTGAGCCGAAGGCAAAGGCTTTAACCACTGAGCCACCCAGGTGCCCCGAAATTCTGGCTTTTCAACATGAAAGTACTATTGGTAACACTAAGTGATACATCTTCACTGTCACAAAAATAATAAAGTATATCTCTGCTTGAGTGTTTTGATTTCCATGATACCTTAAGATGTTCCCTGATAACTTACTACCAAGAAATGAACAATTTAATTTCCTCAGTGACTTCAACTTATTTATTTATGAATTAGTTTAGGAGCCCTAATTTATCTCATGTATTTGCTAAGGTAAATAAATGAATATAAAACTAACAAATAAGACTGTGCATAAAATTTAGGGTATATCTTAAAAAACACCAACATTTTGGGGCATCTGCCTGGCTCAGTCAGTGGAGCATGTGACATATGACTCTTAATCTCGGGGTTAAGGGTTTAAGCCCCACGCTGGGTGTAGAGATTACTTAAAAATAAAATGTAAAAAAAAAAAAATACCAACACTTCAAAGTGAGAAAATCAACCTGAATAGCTTGAATCAGCTTTTTAAAGAATTCATGTGCTGTGCTCACTTCGGCAGCACATATACTAAAATTGGAACCATACGGAGAAGATTAGCATAGCCCCTGCACAAGGATGACACGCAAATTTGTGAAGCATTACATATTTTAAAAAGAAAAAGAATTCGTGTACTATATTCTTAACACTAAAACAACTGTTATCTAATTTCCTAACTCTGATGATCTGAAAAGATAACAATTAAAAGGCAGAATTTTGGCAAAATAAACATAACACTACTTGACTATTGTGTTTCTCTAAGAAGTCCTTTAGCTTACTTTTTCAGAGGGCCAGAACTATGGCAACCAAATTCAAATCTGCCAGAAGTCTCACTGACAAGTAAACAAATAAAGAGTAATTATTAGATGAGCTATAAAGACAAGAGTGTTATCATGATGAAATAGAATTATTTGACTATTAATATTCTATTTTCTGTTTCCCTCAAAAGAGATGTCTCACCCACTTGAAAGGTTTGCATACCTGTCACATTTGTCTTTTGCCCTTTTCTTTTTCTCTTCAAACTGTTCCAACAGGCCCTTTGATTTTCCAGCTGACAAAGGTGGAAGAAATAAGCCTCTATCGTTTGCATCTGCTCCAAACAGCGGGGGTTTTGTCTGGTACTTTGTGAAAATACTAGGTTCATTCTGTTAAACGAAAAAAAAAAAAAACAAAAACACAGCATTTCACATGTGAAAATATTTATAGCATTCATTATTTTCTACACAGTGTAGTCACATTTAAGTGCAAACCACAATACTAAAAAACAAAATGGCATGTAGTATTTCCTTTTTATTTCATATATATTAGAAAATTACATTAAAATAAAGCAACTCTTTTTATTAATAAGGTTTCTGCCTTACCAGCCCAGAAATACCAAAAATATCAGCTGTGGGTGCCTGGGTAGCTCAGTCAGTTAAGTGTCTGCCTTTGGCTTAGGTCATGATCTCAGGGCCCTGGGATTGAGTTCCATATCACATCTGGCTCCCTGCTCATCGAGGAGTCCGCTTCTCCTCTCTCCCTCTGCCTGCCGCTCCCCCACTTGTGCTCGCTCTCTCTCAAATAAACAAATAAAATCTTAAAAAAGTAGGGGCGCCTGGGTGTCACAGTGGGTTAAGCCTCTGCCTTCGGCTCGGGTCATGGTCCCAGGGTCCTGGGATCGAGCCCTGCGTCGGGCTCTCTGCTCGGCAGGGAGACTGCTTCCTCCTCTCTCTCTCTGCCTGCCTCTCTGCCTACCTGTGATCTCTGTCAAATAAATAAATAAAATCTTTAAAAAAAAAAAAAAAGAAAGAAGGGAGCCTGCTTTCTCCTCTCTCTCTGCCTTCCTCTCCGCCTACTTGTGATCTCTCTCTCTGCCAAATAAATAAATAAAATCTTAAAAAAAAAAAGTATACAGGATGCCTGGCTGACTTAGTCAGTAGAGCACATGACTCTTAATCTCAAGGTCATGAGTTCAAGCCCCATGTTGCGTATGGAGCCAACTTAAAAAAAAAACAATAAAAATAAAGTATCAGCTAAAATGGCTTAAAATCAGCTGTACAAATTTGAAGGCAATATCAAAATTCTTTACGCTGTCTCTGAGATGATATGTTAAAGTTTATATAGTAAGTTTAACTCAATTACTAGTTGAACTAGACTTGTTGGTAAGTTTGACACGGACTGGACAGTAGGCATGCTGGCATGTGGTAAGTCATTTTCTGCATTCTTAGGCAAAAATTACTCTGAAACATTCAGGGAGTACATTTCCTCCTTCATATCACTGGGTATCAATTTTTTTACTGAAATACTTATCTGAGAGAATACCCTACTATCTTAAAGCACTGACCTCATCTTACCCATGGAGTCTCTATTTGATACAGTTAAGTCTGTACATAAAGTTAAATCTAGTTTTAGACAAAAATAAATAAATATATAAAAATATTTCTGACCCGGGGCGCCTGGGTGGCTCAGTGGGTTAAGCCTCTGCCTTCAGCTCAGGTCATGATCTCAGGGTCCTGGGATCGAGCCCCGCATTGGGCTCTCTGCTCAGCAGGTAGTCTGCTTCCCCCTCTCTCTCCGCCTGCCTCTCTGCCTACTTGTGATCTCTCTGTCAAATGAATAAAATCTTAAAAAAAAAAAATTCTGACCCATGAAAGAAGACATGTTTGTCTCAAAAAATTGAGGACTCAGGAGACTCTGTTCTTGATTCTGGCCCTTATCCATTAACTAAGTCCTCAGAATCCTCACGTCACTCTTCAAGGAGATAATGTAGCATAGTAGACTAAAATCCACAAAGCACCTAAAGTTTCTTAGAAAAAATGTCCATTTAAAATAAAATTTATGTTACTTTATTCCCATTTTTCTAAAGCTCTTATCTCTTATGAAATTTTCATAAATAATAGTATGTCTTAGAAAATGTCATGCAGGGGCGCCTGGGTGGCTCAGTGGGTTAGGCCTCTGCCTTCGGCTCAGGTCATGATCTCAGGGTCCTGGGATCGAGTCCCGCATCGGGATCTCTGCTCAGCAGGGAGCCTGCTTCTCCCTCTCTCTGTCTGCCTCTCTGCCTACTTGTGATCTCTCTCTGTCAAATAAATAAATAAAAATATTTTTAAAAATGTCATGCAATATTTGTCTCTCCCTTAGGGTCAAGGTACCGGCAATATTCTACAATATATGTATTTTTTTCATTTTAGACTACCAACCAAGTCTATCAGACTACTGAGTAACCAATGAAGTATAAATCCATTTAGAAGAGTAAACATTAGAAGTGTATAATTCTAAAATATAATCCAACATAATAAGTCTTCTTTATAGCTTATCTCCATGATGACTATGAAATTTGTGCAGAGAAATTCTGGAAATGAGACTCACGTCCATAGAATTCTGTTGTGATTGTTTTGGATGTCTCACGTGGACACCATCCAAGGGTGCTGACAGAGTCTCTGAACTTTCTGGACAGAACTGGGATCCAAAGAGGAACTGGGAATCACTGAGACTGGAGTAATCACCCTGATTATTATTCCAGCTAGATGCCTTAGTAGTCCTGAAATTAAGCAAGAAAAGAGAAGTATATCAAGTGGACAAACATTCTGAACAAATGAAATAGTAATTCACAGCTATTCATTTCAGAATATTCTGGGGAGAGTACTAGTTTGTTCTGACCTCCTAGGCCCCTGAACACTCTCAGTATTGCCTATAAAGAATCACAAACAAATTCTGAAAGCCAGGCATTTTCATTACAGCAACTTGAGAACAATCAGATGGAAATTCAGACGTTAAGGACTGACACCATGATTCCTTATACAACAGCACTGTGGGCTATAACACGTTTTGGGGGATCAAAGTTCCTGAAATCTTTAGGGATTAAGAGAACATTATCTTTTAAAAAGTTGAATCTGGGGGGTGTTTGGGTGGTTCAGTCAGGTGGGCATCCAACTCTTGATATCAGCTCAGGTCGTGATCTCAGGGTCATGGAATCGAGCCCTATGTAGGGCTCTGTGCTGGGCATAGAACCTGCTTGGGATTCTCTCCTTCTGCCCCTTCTTCCCACCCCCCATTCTCTCACTTACTATCTCTAAAAAAGAAAGTTGAATCTGTTAATCACTAAGGGAATAAATAAAAATATGGTATATGCATATAACTGATGCATTAGTCAGAAGCAGTAGATTTACATAGAACCACATGAATAAATCTCAAAAAATTTAGAGTGCAGAAAAAGTAAAAATTGAATGAACTCTGTATCATTTATATAACCTTTTATTCTTAAAGATTTTATTTATTTATTTGACAGACATAGATCACAAGTAGGCAGAGAGGCAGGCAGAGAGAGAGAGAAGCAGGCTCCCCATTGAGCAGACAGCCCAATGTGGGGCTCCATCCCAGGACCCTGGGATCATGACCTGAGCCAAAGGCAGAGGCTTTAACCCACTGAGCCACCCAGGCACTCCTAACCTTTTTTTAGAATACAAAGAACCCAGTGTTTTTTAATGAACAAGAAATCTGAACATTTCAGTAAACAAATATATGATTAGCCAATATACAATAAATCGTTAGCTATTAGTACTATTTTTAGTATTTTTCAGCTGTATTAAAACAGATCATTTTATTTAATTTTTTTTCAGTGTTCCAAGATTCATTGTTTATGTACCACACCCAGTGCTCCATGCAATATATAACCTTTTAAATCTACATCATACCACACCAAACAAGTATATAAGTGTGTGTGTAGAAGGTGAATTAGAACTCCCATTAGTCTTCTAGTGTGTGCCTACAGGGAAGGAAGGGAGCAGGATTACAGGGAGAGTAGGAGTCATAATACAAAAAACACAAGACACCTTAGTTACAGACAGAATGTTTGTGTTCTCCAAAAATCCCTATGTTGAAGTCCTAATCCCTAACCTGACAGTGTTTGGAAATGGGGCCTTTAGAAGGTAATTAGGGTTAAACAAGTTCCTGAGGGTGGAGTCTTCTTGACGGGATTAAGGTTCTTACAAGTAGAAACACTATAGAGTTTGCCCTCCTTCCTTTCTCCTCCACGTGAGGACACAGAGAGAAGACAGTTGTCAGCAAGCCAGGAAGGGAGCCCTCACCAGAAATGATCCAGCTGGCATATGATTCTAGGACTTCCAATCTCCAAAACTGAGAAAATAAATTTCTATTGTTGAAGCCATCCAATTTAGGGTACTTTGTTTTGGCAACCCAGCAGACTAATTTAGGCCTCATCCAGACTGAAGAATACGATCAACTCAGATTTGTGCACAGAAGGATCCATTAAACATTGTTTTTGAAACAAGGTGGTGTTCCCTTTCACACCTTTAGTGTCTTATTCTTGTACTTCCAGCTGTGGACTTCCAACTTGCTTCCCATGGATATCTACACCAATCTTTGTTAAAGGGAGAGTGATACTGATAATGATACAATCACACTTGAACACAGTGTACTGAGTATATATCAGAGACAGCATAAAAGCAGGCAGACAAGTAAAATACAGTCTTCAAGTTTTTACTTCAAAGACATCTCAGTAAGAATTTGTTACTTAATGCTGTTGTGTGACCTGAAAAAAACACTCTTTTCATTACAACATACAAATCATTCCTTGTTTAAAAAGCTAAAGCTAGGGGCGCCTGGGTGGCTCAGTGGGTTGGGGTCTCTGCCTTTGGCTCAGGTCATGATCCCAGGGTCCTGGGATAGAGCCCTGCATCAGGCTCTCTGCTCAGCATGGAGCCTGCTTCCTCCTCTCTCTGCCTGCCTCTCTGCCTACTTGTGATCTCTGTCTGTCAAATAAATAAATAGAATCTTAAAAAAAAAAAAAAAAAAAGCTAAAGCTAGGGGCGCCTGGGTGGCTCACTTTGTTAAGCATCTAACTCTTGACTTTGGCTCAGGTCATAATCTCAGAGTGGTAAGACTGAGCCCTGAGTTGGGGCTCTGCTCTGGGCATGGAGCCCACTTAAGATTCTTGATTCTCTCTCTCCCTCTCCCTCTGCCCCTCCTCCTGTCCTTGCTCTCTCTCCACCCCCCCAAGAAATAAATAAGCCAAATCTAAAATAATTTGATAGCATATAACTACATATCCAAAGCCAAAGGAACCATCATGTACTGATGCAAGAAAAAAAAATCTAATAGTTCAGCACAGGAAAGAGCAATTACTTCACTGATGGAACCATTTTCTAAGATTAGCTAAGGTAATGAGCTGCACACATGTATTATGATATGGGTTGCATAATCATTGCTCAAAATAGCTTAAATAGGGACGCCTGGGTGGCTCAGTTGGTTAAGCAGCTGCCTTCGGCTCGGGTCATGATCCCAGTGTCCTGGGATCGAGTCCCACATCGGGCTCCTTGCTCATCAGGGAGCCTGCTTCTCCCTCTGCTTCTGCCTGCCATTCTGTCTGCCTGTGCTTGCTCTCTCTCCCTCTCTCTCTCTGACAAATAAATAAATAAAATCTTAAAAAAAAATAGCTTAAATAGCTCTCTGTGACTCCCCTCTTAGGTCAAAGAGAATAATTAGCTGGACTGGAAAAAAAAACTGTGAGCTTATAGAAATATGTAGGATTTGCATCTTAAAGCTATGATCTAGAATTTAACAAAGATTTTCCCTACTCTGTATGAACTGTAAGCATTTTTTTTTCTTTTTAAGAAGTAAAAAGCACAGTGCTCTAGGTTTTTATTGAATTAATAACTGTCTTCAGGAAGGTGTTAGGAAGAAAATAAACTATCCAATAATAAAACATACAAAAAGCAATTAGAAATCCCTTAAATATATACTACTTCTGCGGCACATTCACCAAGTTAGCAACGGCAGGCCCACTGCACGGCTGGCAGACACAAATGTAAATACTTCAGTGGAGTAGTAGAAGGGGCAATATCTCAGTGAGCCTTGTCAACAGCTGGCTTTTAACTCCTATAGGACCTACAAATGGTACCACACAATGTAATACGTACCTCAACATTGTCTTGATTTTGCTCCCTGCTGTTTCAATAGTAATTGCTCCAACCAAAGTGAGTTTCTAGATGTTGGGCAGTGTCTAATTCTCACAGGCCCCATAGTCCCTAGGCCCAGTGCTGGACACAGAGCCGCTGCTCAGTTAACACACATAGTTGAATTTACATTGTTTTTATAATCAGAAAATTGGCAAAAGGAAAAAGACAAGGATGGGAGAGCAGTGAAAAGAAGGGAGGAGAAGGGGAAGAAGCTATGGAAGTAACTCTATTACTAATTAATAGGTAGGGAAGGGTTTTCTATGAAAACAATATAACTGTAAGATCCTCAGTATCAGAGTATATAACCTGAAAACTTACCCAGAGCCAGAGGGAATACTGAGCATCTCTTTGATATTCCAGACATTAAAATTCATTTCTTATGGTTAACCCTATTAAAAAGAGAGGAATATTAATTTAAAAGTTTAAGATAGTGTAACTTTCCCCCAAAGATTACTTTACTGGTAACTATTATATGTAGATAAGGACATTTCAGCAACTATATTCCCATCCATTTGGTGAAAACTCCCATTATGTGTGTCAGAAACAGGTATTTTCAGGGCACCTGGCTGGCTCAGTCAGTGGAGCGTGTAACTCTTGATCTTGGGGGTTATGAGTTTGAGCCCTGTGTTGGGTGTACAGATTACTTAAAAATAAAATCTTTAAAAAAATAAAATAGGTATTTTCTGTTATTAAATTGCATACAAACCCCCTCCTTCTTAACACCAGGGAGAGCCTAGTCATCTGTGAAACAGTAAATTTGCATTCCATCTTGTTCTCTTGTCCTTTTCTCTTGCCATCCTATTCTATTAATAATCTGCTTTTAGGAAAAGACCAATAGACTTTATTTTTCATTGCCTGATACAATGAATGACTCAATCTATAACCTCTCCCAAAAAGACGAGTTCTCCCCAGATCAGAGGATATGGGAATGCCAAGAGTACTGCGGAATTTGGGCAATAAAGAAGCTTGATGAAGAGTGAGTGCTTTGGGCAAAGTGTTTTCCCACACCTCTTATGAGCATACCTCTTATTGCCTACTGTGCTCATTGCCAACCCAACACATTGCACATTCATTATTATGATTGTAGAGCCTGGATTTTATGAAACAAGCCCAATTTCTAAATTTTGTTTCCCTGGTGTCACAGACATTCATAATTATCAGATTATATAATACCACTGAGAGCATCAGAAAATGAATCCCACACAAACAGAAGGCATATGTGACCAACATCAAATACTGTCCCAACAGAGATCAAGATAAACTGAATCACAAGTTCTGAATAAATATAGACATTTTAGTATACTTTTCATAAAATTTAACCTTGTTTAGATAAATCTGTTATGTTGAAGTTTTTTAATTTTTTAGAAAAATAGATGGATTGGAGTGTTTATAACCACTTATTTTGCAAGAATATTAAGCATAGATCACAGGGATCAAGGGGTGAAAGTTATTATCATTTACATAACCCTGCTATGTGTTGGGCACAGTGCTAGATATGTTGCAGGAGACAAGGTCAATGATTTTGTGAGGCAGGTGTTGCTATCCTCACTTAAAAGTTTGTAAGGACGCACATGGACTAAATAATTAGTTCAAGTTCTATCCAGATTTGGAGGCAAATATGTTCTATACTAGGTCAACCCATTACCAAAGGCCATGCATGTTGTCCTCTCATTTCTCAACACTGGCTCTATCTTAAATACGTTCTAGAACCAAGAAAATTTGTGTTTCTCCCTTTTTGAGCAGCTTGGTAATGACTTGAAAGGATATGACTTTAGAGGAATAAGATCAAGGTTCAGATCCTGACACCTGCATTTATACTGTGAACTTGGGCAAATTAGCTGACCTCTCTCTTTTTTTGGGTTTTTTTCTTTTTTAAGATTTTATGTGGGGCTCAAATTTATAAACCTGAGATCAAGAGTCACATGCTCTACCAACTGATCCAGACAGGCACCCCAAATTAGTTAACTTCTTTGAATCCCAGTTTCCTCATCCGTTAAATGAAGACAACACACCTATCTTTAAAAGTAGAGATAGGGATTCAAGAACATATATATACAGTGCCTGGATATGGATACTGGTACTTTTTAGGGGCTTCTTAATTACCTCCTCAGAGACTGTGGCTTCACTATTTTAAAACAAATCCATGGTCTCCTGGAGACTTTGACATTCACCTACTCTCAGTTCAAAGGACTCTCATATGTAACACACCAAGTCTCTCACACTCACTTAGCTGAGAAGAATAAAGTTGCTGCAAGGTTGGGACTAAATACCAGAGTTAATTATTTTGTTTCAGCACTCCTGAACACGGTTTAGACTGTGTAGAATACCTTCAAAGAAGTTCAGTGTAATATTAATATCCATGATGCAAATAAATTAATATTTCATTGAGATGAAAACTGAAGAAAATTCATTTTAAAAACTGGAAATATTGTCCAGGCAGGTTCATAAGTGAATTTTACCAAACATTTAAGAAAGAAAGTATGCCAGTTGTCTAAAATCTCATCCTAATACCAAAACCAGACAAAGATACTGTAAGAAAAGAAAACCACAGACCAAGACCTCTCATGAACATGGGTGCAAAATCCTCAACAAAATATTAGCAAATTGAATGCAACAATATATGAAAAGAATTATATATAACCGAGTGATAATTATTCTAGACATGCAAAGCTATTTCAACATTTGAAAATCAAATAATGTAAACTGTCACAGACTAGAGAAGAAAAATCATATGATCATATATTTGGGTATTAAAAAAACATTTGGGGTGCCTGGGTCACAGACACAGGTTGAGTGTCTGACTCTTGATCTCAGCTCAGGTCTTGATCTCAAGGTCCTGAGTTTAAGTCCTGTGTTGGGCTCCATGCCAGAAGTGGAGCCTAATTAAAAAAATGAATTTTTAAAAAAAGCATTTGACAAAATCCAACACCCATTTATGAGAAAAACTCTCAGCAAAATAGGAAATAGAGGGGAACTTCCTCAACTTGATAGAAAACATCTACACAAAATTCCAAAGCTAACATCATACTTAATGATGAGATACTAAGTTTTCCCTCTTAAGATCAGGGACAAGGCAAGGATTCCCCTTCTTCTCTCAGTACAACATTGTACTAGAAGTTCCAACTAATGAACTAAAACAATAAAAGGAAATAAAAGGTATATAGATTGGAAAAGAAGAAGTAAAACTATCTTTGTTCAAGACCACATGACTTTCTATGGAGGAAATTCAAAAGAAGTAACAAAACAACTCCTGAAACAAAGAAGTAATTATACCAGTGTTGCAAGATGAAGATTAATACACAAAAGTTAATCACTTTCCTAAATACCAGGCAGTGAACAAATGAATTTGAAATTAAGCACAAAATACCATTTATATTAGCAACCCTAAAATTCTAAGTATAAATCTAACAAAATATGTATAAGATCTATATGAAGAAAACCCCAAAATTCTGATGAAAGATATCGAAGAAGAATGAAATAAGTGGAGAGATATTCATGTTCATGGACAAGAAGACTCAATATTGTCAAGACATCAGTTCTTTCCAACTTGATCTATATATTCAATGCACTCTCAATAAAAATTTGAGCAAGTTATCTTGTGGATATTGACAAACTGATTCTAAAGTTTATATGGAGGGTGCCTGTGTGGCTCAGTGGGTTAAGCCTCTGCCTTCGACTCAGGTCATGATCTCAGGCTCCTGGGATCCAGCCTCGCATCAGGCTCTCTGCTCAGTGGGGAGCCTGCTTCCTTCTTTCTCTGCCTGCTGCTCTGCCTACTTGTGATCTCTGTCAGGTGAATAAATAAAATCTTTAAAAAAAATAAAAAATAAATAAAGTTTATATGGAGAGGCAAAAGATCCAGAATAGCCAACACAATATTAAAGAAGAAGAACAAAGTCAGAGAATTGACACTACCCAACTTCAAGATTTACTATAAAGCTAACTAATCAAAATAGTGTGATACTGGCAAAGGAACAGACTAACAGATCAATGAAACAAAATAGAGTGCTCAGAAATAGACTCACTCAAATACAGTCAACTGATCTTTGACAAGGGAGCAAAGTTAATAAAATGAAGAAAACATACTCTTTTAAACAAATTGTGCTGGAACATCCGGAGATCCACATGCAAAGAAAATTTAGACACAGACCTTATACCTTTCACAAAAAATTAACTCAAAATGAATCATAGACCTAAATGTAAAATTCAAAGCTATTAAAAAAAAAAAACTCTTAGAAAATAAGATAGGAGAAAATCTAGATGACCCCTGTATTTGCCAACGACTTTGTAAATACAACACTAAAGACTTGATCCATAAATGAAAGAATTAATAAGCTGGACTTCCCTAAAATTAAAAACTTCTGCTCTGTGAAAAACATGGTCAAGAAAGTGAGAAGACAAGCCACTTACTGGGAGAAAATATTTGCAAAAGACATCTGAAAAAGGTATCCAAAGTATCCAAAATATACAAAGAACCCTTTTAGAAAAATATATTTATTTTTTTAAGTAATCTCTATACCCAATATGGGGTTTGAACTCATAACCCTGAGATTAGGAGTCACATGCTCCACTGACTGAGTCAGCCAGTTGTCCCAAATATACAAAGAACTCTTAAAACTCAATAATAAAACAAACAACTCAACATATATCCATATATCCGTGGAATAGAAAAGAGAGCCCAGAAATTAACCCATGCATAATAGGGTTGATTAACGTATGACAAAGGAGCCAAGAATATATATTAGGGAAAGGAAAGTCTCTTTAATAAATAGTGCTGGGAAAACTGGACAACCACATACCAAAGAATGAAACTGGACCCTTGTCTTACATCACATATAAAATCAACGCAAAATCAATTAAAAATTTAAGTTTAAGACCTGAAACAGTTAAATTCCTATAGGAAAATATAGGAACAAGACATCAGTCTTGGCAATGATTTTTTGGGCTTGACACAAAAAGCAAAAGCAACAAACCCCAAAATAAACAAGTGAGACCACATCAAACTGAAAAGCTTCTATACAGCAAAGGAAACCATCAATAAAATGAAGAGGCAACCTGTGGAATGGGAGAAAACATTTGTAAACCATATATCTGATAAAGGGTTAATACCTGAAATATATAAAGGACTTGCACAACTCATAGAAACAAACAAACAAACAAACAAACCAATTAATGGGCAGAGGAAATGAATAGACATTTTTCCAAAGAAGATACACAAATGGGGGCGCCTGGGTGGCTTGGTTGGTTAAGCGGTTGCCTTCGGCTCAGGTCATGATTCCAGGGTCCTGGGATCGAGCCCCGCATCAGGCTCCCTGCTCAGCAGAGAGCCTGCTTCTCTCTCTCTCCCCCTGACTGCTGTTCTGCTTACTTGTGC